TTAAGTAAATTCAATAATATTACTAGTGTTGAAGTGTCCGGTACAATTGATTTTGTATTAACCGATGATGTGTTTAATAAAATGATAAAATATTGCAATCAATTGAAAGCCATTAATATAGGGGTTCCGGTGGATGTGAGTGTCGATACAATTAATAGATTTTTCGCGAAGTTTGCTAAAACTTTTCAATCAATTCAATGGTTAGCTATCAATGAATTAAACGCTATTAATACGGATATCCATAATAATATAAAATTATGCAAAAATGTCACTAAGCTTGGTGCTAGACATAATGTCACGTATGTGTTAAGCTATGATAAAAGTGAGAAATTGTTTCCGAAGTTAAAATCATTTCGGTTTAAGTATAGTATAGAAGATGTGATTAATTTCGATATATTTGTGAATTATTACAAAAATCAGTTGAAATCAGTTGATGTAGTAATCGATGAGAATTGCGATGAAAAGGCTATTATTATACTAATGACCGGATTGTCACAAATGCATGCATTGATTGATTTGAAAGTTTCAAACTTTATTATCCGTTGGACTCATGCGATGGTCATTGGATTGAGACTTATTGGCACTCATTGTCTCAAAATGAAAAGACTATCACTTCATGTGGACGTCACTATTAAACATATTACTTGTCAACTGATCCAGAGTATTAACAACTGCTTTAAACGCTTGAAACGATTGGATATCCGGGGTTATTTTGATGGGGACTATGTAATCACCAGTGAATCACTGAATCAATTGAAATCATTGACACATTTAACGATACATGTCTGGAGTGGCTATACATTTGATGATGAGTTTGCGGTTAATATCGGCTATTATTTACCGAAATTACAATATATTAGTGTCTATGATATCATGATAACTGATTGTGTGATGAATTCGTTGCGAAATCTGACCAAGATTAAGACTATTGAATTGAGTGGACATATTATGTGTACGCAAAGTGTGGGGGGTTATGATTGTGTGAAATATAATTTGAATAAAATTTTGACCATTTGTATCAATAATGTCAAGATTAATATTAATTTCAATTAAGTTGTTATTTTTACTCAAAAGTCGATTAATTAGATTATGGTTTGATAAAAGTTATTATACAAAAAGTATATTTAATTTTGTGATAATTTATTTAATTATTTATACTATAATAAGCTATAATATATAATAAGTGCTCAAATTAATAATTTAATTAAAGTAATACTATGTGTTATTTATTTTGCTTATTATTTATTACTATTTATTTTTCACTGTATTTTGCTTTATCTTCTGATGTTTTTGTTTCCTAATTACCGGTATATTTAATATTAAATAAAATAATTTATAAATTTAAGCTATTTAAATTTTGTACACTTAACGTTCAATTTATTAGTATTTAACTATTCATTTATTCGTATCAGTATTAATATAAATGTTTAATGATTATTTTTTTGATAGATATTAGTCGACTTAAAAATGATTTGTGAATTATTTGATTTATCGGTTTATCTGTGAATTTTCTATAAAGTTATTTTGAAATTAAGTTCAAAGTTAAAGTAAAAATTGGTTTCTAAACTAATAGCATGTGGAAATCTTTATTTTGTTAAGGTTTGAGTAACTTTATAATATTATTAGACACATTTTGTACACCGAATAATAAAAGTCATACTTATTATAACAATAATATAATCCTTGACATTGCTGTTATCAATAAAAATATTTGTGTAGTTATGACACTGATACTATGGAGATTATCACATTATTGTGGTATTTAATAAAAAGTATTTCATACAATTTATAAATTATAATGTTATTGTTTTATCCTAAATTTATTTATTTTAAGTAATATTTTTAATACATTTACTAAAATTAATATGGCTAATTTAACTGATTATAATGTAATCCAACTAATTGGACATGGGTCAATGGGGTCCACTGTATGGAAAGTCCGTGAAAAGGACTCATTTGCAAGCACCTGGCTTAAATCTCCATCAAATGAGTATGCTATTAAGGAGACTAATATAAACCAGGGTAAAAATTTTAATTAACTTTTTAAATAATTAAATAATTATACATTAAATTATAGGCAATAATAACAGTGCGTGGAATGAGGTTGATGTAATTAGGCAATTAAACACCAAGCAAAATTTGGTAGACTTTCATGGTAGTTGGCAACAGGGTGAATCGGTATTTATCAAGCAAGATTTATATACCGTAGACCTGGCTACCCTACTTAATGTCAAAGGGTATCAGTTTGATAAGCGACACCTGGTGTTTCCCAGAGATGACCAGGGTCATGTGGGTCTAATTGAGTTTGGTTTCTGTTGCTATTTGTACCGGGAGATTTTAAATATGCTGGCTCAATTGCATAATGCTAAGCCCAGTATTAATTATGGAAATTTGAAGCTTGATAATATTTTAATTAAATACGTGAACCGGTGTATCAAGTTTCAATTTGCTGACTTTGGTTACGCTACCAGGGTAATTAGATAATTATTTTTATAAGTATATAGTTTTAATTAATTTCCTAAATAGATACAGAGTGCGCCTGGTAATGACTTATTTAATTTGGCAATGATCATGATGCAAATATTTGACATACATGATGGAGTGTAATTATTATAACATTATTTTATAAATTATGAATTATCTAGCTACTTTTTAATGTTTATTTTTAAATGTAGGTCAAGTTTACGATTTAATAACCCTGATGACAATATTAGTAAAGGCTATGTGCGCCTATGGGATATTATTGGGGATTTAATTGAAAATAATCAGGGCAATAAATGGACCTGTAGCAAATTATTAGCCGATTCAAATGATTGGTGTTTAAATACAAGGCAAATTATAAATGAGCAAGGTTTTGTTATGGATGAATATAATAAGCATGGTGACATTTACCAATGTCTTAAACGGGTGTATAACTATCGAGATTGGACTGACGTGACTGACCATATAATCCGAGACATAACTGGCCAATTTGAGGGTGGCTATAAGGTGCAGGCTACATTTTGGGCTTTGCTATTCATGTACGAATTGAAAAATGAACTATTTTAAATTAACCGGTTTATTTTATTAAAATATATTTTAATTTCTAAGCAATGTTTTAACATATTTGATATTATAAATGTATATATATACAAGTACATATGAGCTGGGGACAATCATAGTAACGTTAGATATTTTTATTAATACTTTAAAATCCAGTAATATTTTAACCTGATAAGTCAT